GCCCCTTGTGCAGCTCCTTTTTTTCGGAGCAATGATTCACCTGGTTCCACTGGTCATGAGCTCATCCAGTAGTGGAAGTTTTTTAGCTTACTCAAAGCAGTGAGAAATTCAGAGGAGCTGAGAGATGAACTACCTTTCCAGTTATTCTTATACCAAGTTATTTTTTGCAAGCGTTTCACTTTGGTTTATGTCACAAGCATAATTATTCTATCATTTCCTACCTCAGAAATGCAAACAGGTCTAAATTTTGTTTCAGTGCCAATCAGTGACCTCTAGAATTTCTGGTCTGGAGCTGAGAGGAAGCACAGCAAGCCATGAGAGGAACCAGCTTGTGATGAATTTCATAGCTATAACAATGGATTTAGCTGGGTTTATGCTCGTGTGTCCCCCTTGGCTCTCTGAGCTTTCTAAGCCATATCTATTGACTCCAAAGCTCATATTTCTCACACTGTTATTTGCAGCCCCAATTCATGGCTATTACTACTCAATCAAAAATATTACCTGCCCTTAAATGCAAGAGTAATTATGATAGAAAGCTCCTTGGCTGAAGGGATGTGCTGCCTTCCCTTGGCATTGTCCAAAGAGGACATTTATCAGTTTTCTGACAGAGAAATTTGTGCTAAGGCTGAAAGCTCCAGCACTGCTGGTGACTTGGACAGTCCAAGCTGTTGCCTCTTGCCCTGTTATACATTAGCTGCAAGATTGCAATGTTCCAGATGCCTCACGTGAAAAGGTCTAAGATGTGTGGTACAGAGCCCACAGCCTGAACCAGCCAGCCCAGGTCTGTTCAGCCCACACTAATCTGTGGTTTTAAGGGTGATGGTGAGGAAAATTTGATGCCACATCTGCACTATATCCTACTTCTTGTAGGATAAGGAAAAAGAATACTTTTTTCATGTCACTGTGCCCCTCTCTCTCTTGCTCAGGTTAAAAACCCAACACATTTCATATTTCTCTGTGTCTTCTCCCACTGGCCCGAGTCTGCCAGTTCTGTAACAAAAGAATGGTAAATGCTGCTCTCTGTTTTGCAGTCCAGGTATTTGGGAGGTAGCCAGGCTTTCTGCAGGAGTAAAGCTTCGTGTAACTTGGCAAGAACAGACCCTCGTGGGCATCTCTACAGTTTGTATGGAAATGACTTCACGTGATCACTTCACACAAGGGCTGATTAATCAGCCTTGAGGCAGAGCAGATGAGCTGAAAAGCAAGGAGAGGAGAAGCCCACGGCTTCCAGCACAGAGCCACACGAGAACAGTGCTGACTCCCAAACCTCTCTGCTGCTAATCCAGTCCTTGTGCCATTCAAAATATTCCTGTTATTCCTAATCAAATGTGAAAAATTCCATGGAAAGACAGGAGCAAAAGGAAAACCAGGAATTCAGTAAAAATATCAATTTGATGTAAAGAAATTTAAATGCTATTTATAATATGGCAATTGACCTTGAACAAACGCTCACAAGGTAGAATCACATGGTTAATTCAACCCCTCAAATTCTGCTTTTTGACCTGAACATGCAGAGGTTAGGTGTAAGGTTTTACATGCTTAGTTATCACTGCACCCCCTGCAAAGTCTCTGCTTGTCACTTGGGCCATGAAATGCTCTCTGCACCTGATACAGCATAAGGGGACTCCAAGCACAGGCTGTATTACCCCAGGAATATGTAACTGGAAAAACAGGATTGAACTTCATGTTTGACATTTTCCAGATGATGAAAGGTACTCAAGCCAAGAGAGTGCACTAGAAGTGAACTCTGACTTTCTCAAAAGCTAGAGGAAAAAATGGGAAAACAGGCAGAGAAAGAGTAAAAAAGGAATGAGATAGAAAAAAAGTAACTGGATATATCACAGCAGTGAACTACAAAGAAAGGCATCTTGAGAGAAAAGCACATGAAGTAAGGGAAAGAGTAATAAATAAGAGTAGTAAAGCAAGACATGAAAAACTCTTTTAAACAGAAATAAATTACAGCTCAGGTATGTGTTAGGGGCATGGTCACACAGAAGTGGAAACAGAGGGCAGGTGAGAAAGGAGATAATCTTAAAATCCTTCAAAGAAGATAAAAGATCAGCATTTGAAGCCTGTGCACCCCACTGAAAACAGCAGGTGCCCAGTAACATGTACATGAAGATACAGCAGTAATTATCAGCAGAATTACATGCTATGTGAAGATACATGTCGTGTGTCTCAAGTGATTAACCTGAATTATCAGTTAATTCCTTCCAACTTCACAAGATAGCTGGACCTATTAAGATCAAAGGAGACAAAGCAGCTCTGTGATCTGCTCCCTCTCTGCTTCCAGGCACAGCTCCTGGGGGGTGGGGACAGCCCCAGCTGCCCTGGCACAGCCCCTCTGGGCCACCTGTGCTTGGCCCTCCAGGAACCAGTGAAGCCCTGGGGACGTGATCCAAGGCCATCTCACTTTCTCAGAGCACCCAGTGCCAGGTCCTGAGTAATATCCTGTCACTGGTGGTATTCCAGAAGCATTAACTCACTAGTTGTGTCTGGGTGCTGGCGAAAAACCCCAAGTATTTGCCGCAGAGTCCCAAATTTTCTGTTTGATTTCTGCTGGGTACAATTTTATTTTCAGACACTTTTTCTGACAAAACACTCTGCTCTCAAAGTTTTTATGTAGCACTTTTACATATGCCTTTCCCCACAGTTTTTGGCTAGCAAGGGGTCTATCTTTAAAATATCCATCATTCTCATCAGCACAAGGCCTGGAATAAAATATGGCTTCTTTAAGTCCTGTCAGTGAAATTCCCATTTTTAGTGTGTTTCCAGCCAGAATTGGCACTGTCTTGTCGGATCTGTTGCTTTTCAGATTTCCCTGCTTTCACACAGAAAAGAATTAAAAATACCCCCAACTTTATATGCCAGCTTCTAAAGTCTGACCCCCACACACAGCAAAGGCATGCAAGAAAGTCTGGCCCAAAAGACATAAAAACCTCCTGAGAACAGTTCAGGTGACAATTTTAAGCAGAAAAATTCAAATTTTTAAAAAAGTTAACTGAAGAGAGACACATCTGGAAGTGTATTTGCATAATTACCTGCATATCAATTCAGAATTATCAAGAAGGTTTGGCAGATTCCAGTTTATCCAAGTAAATAATTACAGAGTATTTGCAATGCTAACAACAATTTATTTAATCTATGATTCCAAATGCTAGCCAGAGGCTTATAATTCAGTTCAGTCAGCTGAAGCGCACACGTTTTTGCCACCAAGCTCTGACTATTTAAACTGACAAGGCTATTTTGGTTGCTGTTTTGTGAGACAGGTAGAGAGAACTTGCTGCAAGCACTTGGTGATCTTTAACTGCCACATTTACACTCCCAGCTGCAGTTACCAGGGTGAAGGGGCCAAAATCACCCCAAGAGTGTGGGCTGGAGAATTACAATTGGCTCCTGAAAATCACAGAATAGTCACTTAGCCTCATAAGAAATGAAGAAACTCCTTAGCTTAATCACACAGGTTTAATTTCCTTTCCCTTACTTTATTCCCTACATCTCTAACTTCATTCCCATCACCTCCCTATCTCATGCCTTCTTTAGCCGTGTTTCTGCAGCTGATTTGGAAACCCTTGAACTTACACGCATTGGATGGCAACTGTCCCTGCCCAGAGTCCCCGGGATTTTCCCGCTCTGCTCGGGCTGTAATCTTTCGGGAGCAGGAGCCAGAGCTATTTTGGCCGTACAATGTCTGACACGTTTTGGTTGCTAGGTAAACAACCAAGTGTATACACGACGGCGGGGTGAGCCATTCAGGGGACCAGTATAGTTATCTGCTGAGTCCTTTCTTCGCCCGATCACATGGGAATGACTGTGCCGCTTACGAGATAAGGCTTTCACTGCCTCACTTTGCTGCTCAGGTGAAAGCAAGAGAAGAATTTGACCTTTATGTTTTATGTTGGCCTCTTAGACCGTTAACACTGCATGTGGACACCCCGGTAACCTTGAGTGTGTGCAACCCCCACCACGGTGCTGTTCTTATAACCCACTCCCACTCTCATAACCCACGCTGAGTAAGACAAGCACCAAGTGATGAAAACAGTGTAAATCAAATCACAGAATTGGAAGGGACTGAGTTGGAAGGGACCCACAAGGATCATCAGTCCAACTCCTGGCCCTGCACAGCCCCATCCCCAAGAGTCACCCCCTGTGCCCCAGAGCATCATCCAAACCCTCCTGCAGCTCTGGCAGCCTTGGGGCTGTGCCCACTGCCCTGGGGAGCCTGTTCAGTGCCAACCACCCTCTGGGGGAAGAACCTTTCCCTGAGATCCACCCTGAGCCTGCCCTGACACAGCTCCAGCCATTCCCTGGGGGCTGTCCCTGGTCCCCCCAGAGCAGAGCTCAGTCCTGCCCCTCCTCTGCCCCTGCCCAGGCAGTTGGAGCTGCAGTGAGGTCTCCCCTAACGCTTCTGTAAATGCCAGGGCTACGCTGAACCTCCTGCATCGTGACACAGATCCTCTCAAGCCGAGGAAAGCCACCTGTGCACACCATGAGCGCTGCGAGTGGAAACGAGCGACACACGGAGCAGATGTGGTTTGCATCGCACCCGGCGGGGAAAAGCACCGCGGCGGGGCAGGGGCAGGAGAAGGAGCAGGGGCAGGAGAAGGAGCAGGCGGTGGGGCCGAGCCCGGCAGCCCCAGAGCTCAGCCGTTCGCTCGCTGTGTCTGGCGCTGTTTCCACCGACCCACTCCTCCGTCCATCGCCTGCCCACGGCACTCGCTGCCCGGGCGAGAATCGGTGGACAGAGGAGTGGGGCGGACCGGGCTCTCCCCCGTGCCGGGCTCTCCCCGTGCCGGGTGTCCCCGCCGCCCCCGCCGCTGGCTGCGGAGCGGAGCGGAGATGCCGGGAGCTGCCGGAGCTGCCGGGAGCGCAGCCGAGGAGCGGCGGGGGCGGGCGCTGCCCACGGCCCCGCTGGCGGAGCGCCCGGCGCGTCACGGCGGGAGGGACCGGCACCGGCTCATAAATAGGGGCGCGGAGCGGTGGCGGCAGCACTCGCCGAGGGAGCTCCGGCAGCGGCACAGGCGGTAAACGGCGGGGAATCCCTCACTGCTGCCCTCCTTCCCTCGCCCCGAGGTAAGCGCTGCTCCGCGGGACGCTCGGCTCGGTTCGGCTCGGCGGGGCTGGGGCGCTCGGGAGCGGCGGGTGCTGCCAGCTCCTCACAGCTCCTCACAGCCCCTGTGTCCCCGCACAGCGCGGCTCCCCGATGACCCTGAACCGCGGAGACAAGGTGCGGTGCCTGGAGAGGCGGCGGGGCAGCACGCCGTTCGCGCAGCCCCTGCACCGCCGCAGCATGCCCGTGGACGAGCGCGACCTGCGCGCCGCCGAGCCCCAGGGCTTGGTGCGCTGCACCTCCTACAGCCCCGGCGGAGAGCACCGCGACAGCTGGGCCTCCGACTCCTCCGACTCCGTCATCTCCTCGGGCAGCGACTCCGACAGCAGCCTCTACAAGGTGATCCTGCTGGGCGAGCACGGCGTGGGCAAGACCAGCCTGGCGCGCATCTTCGGCGGCGTGGAGGATGGAGCGGACGCGGACGAGGCCGGTGAGGGACCCGCGGCACCTCCCCGGGCGGCCCCCACGGCCACCCCCTCCCAGACCTCCCAGGAGAATAACTTCTTTTTTTTTCTGAAATCTTCTTTTTTTTTTTTTCCCGTAGGAAATACGTACGACAGATCAATTATAGTTGATGGAGAAGAAGCTTCTCTCGTGGTGTTTGATATATGGGAGCAGGTACTTAACAGCTTTTCCTTTGTTTTTCCTCTATGGCTTGGTCCGTGGTTCCCTTAAAAAAAAAAAAAAAAAAAAAAAAGTAGAAATGGAACATCTATGCTGATTTCTTTGATCAGATAAGTGACATTAAAAAATTAGAGTTCATACTGCCTTTTGTTCACTCCTGCAATTAATTTCTTGTAGCTAGGCAGCCAGTTAAAAAACCTGAATAGAGCTGGAGTGAGAATCCCTTAATGCTTTGAATAATCAGCAGCTTACATGAGCAGCCCAGAGAAGTACTGTAAAATTAGAGATTCCCAATCTGATCAGTGCAGACCTGATACCATTTCTGGAAACAAGAGAATTTTCTCTAGTGTTGCATTTTAAAGAACAAAATCTTTAAAACTGTTGGGACAGCTTACTTTTACTGACTCTTTATGATAAAACTAAGAAAAATATCTACAAGGAGCTCACATTAATTAAATCATTACTCAGTGTTGAATAGATTTTTTCAGTGCAATAAATCTATTTCTTGTCTTCTTTTTAGGATGACAGCCAATGGCTCCAGAACCACTGTATGAAAATGGGAGATGCCTATATTATTGTGTATTCAGTGACAGACAAAGTTAGTTTTGAAAAGGCCTCTGAGCTAAGAATCCAGTTAAGAAGAGCAAGGCAAACAGAAGACATTCCCATTATCCTTGTGGGCAATAAAAGCGACCTGGTCAGGTCCCGGGAAGTCTCAGTTGATGGTAAGAGACACCATGAATTTGCACAGTAATGTCTAAAGTAGTAGCAGAGATGTGGAGGATAATGGCCAGTAGAAATGGTCTGGGTTTGGTGTAGAGAAATGTATGATCTGAAGTACACTGGAGAAACCCAGCCAGCTGGTTCATGCTGAGGGACCTGGTACCATGGAAAGCAGTGGAGATGGTGGGGGGGAAGATGTCTGAACTGCAGTATGAGAGAAAAAAAATGCATCAGAGCTGCAGCTTTAGCACCCTGCTTTGTGTAGGACCTGGTTTTGGTCAGTAGCATCTTAAGGGTTTTGTTGTATGCTCTGTGTGCAGCAGCAGCCACCAGGCTCATGATGTGGCAGCCCGAGCTGTGCTTTGAGAGGGACAGGAGCTGCCACATCACAGAGCCCAGGCAGCCTTTGGAAAGGGTGATCCCATACAGCCTGTACCACCCCCTTCTTCTGGTAGTGATTCCATCACATCTGAGCTGAGCTGGTGGGACCAGGCTCTCACAACTCAACTCTCTTTGCTGATGTTCTCCCGTTGTGATCAGTGAGAATTCCTCAGCTAGTTCCAGCTTGCATTTGGTAACCAGAGCACAGGAACCACTGCCAACACCACAGGATTAATTCTGTGAAAACTGAACATTTTGTGAGGTTTTTCCGTTAGTTTACTCTGGATTATTGGTGCCTGGATGATGATGAACCATCTCTCGCTGTGTGGTTTTGCCATGCTCCCTCTGTTAATACCAGCCTAGGGAATTGGTTTGAGTTCCTCAGGAGATTATCACTTCTTTCAGGCTGGTGGCAGTGCATGTTTGACCTGCCCCAGTTCTGACATCCGTCCTTTCCTCAGGTTTACAACTTGGCCATTATTTACCACAGTTGACCATTGAAACTTGTGCTGCAGCAATGTTCCAGGGTTTTGTGCTCGTGTCTGGAACACTGAGCATCTTGCATTTCGAGTGCAGCCCCAGTCAGATCCAGTGGTGTGCAACCTCATGCCCTCCAGTGACGTGTTAGTGACCTGACCTTGTGGCCTGTATCAGCTTCATTTGCTGTTAGTGTGGAAAACTCACTTGTTACAGCAAGGCAGAGGTGCAGAATTACTCAACAACTTCCAGAATAAAATCCATTTCTTTCTGTACCTCACACTGTCCCTTATCAAACAGCAAATGTGCATCCAAGTGCCTCTCCTGTCTCAGCTTAACTCTTCACAATACTGGCACAGTCTGACATTCAGTACCATCGGTCAAATGAGATTTCTGACCACACCACAACAAAACAAAGAGCAAGGGGGCAAAACCCTGAGAACCATTTGGGGCTTTTCTACTCTATAGTAAAGCTCATTGCTGGCACTGAAGGCACCTTCTGTACTTAAAACCAGTATTTGTTTTGTTTTTCTGCCGTATATAATGAAAAGAAAAAGTCCAATCTCCACTCACGCTGCCTTTTCTCTTGCCCTGCAGAGGGCCGGGCCTGTGCTGTGGTGTTTGACTGCAAATTCATCGAGACCTCAGCCGCTCTTCACCACAACGTGAAGGACCTGTTCGAAGGCATCGTGCGGCAGATCCGGCTGCGCAAGGACAGCAAGGAGGACAATGCCAGGAGGATGGCCAACACCAAGAGGAGGGAGAGCATAGGCAAAAAGGCCAAGCGGTTCCTCGGGAGAATTGTGGCAAAGAACAACAAGAAGATGGCTTTCAAGGCAAAATCAAAGTCCTGCCATGACTTATCTGTGCTATAGGAGCTTCAGCAAGGCCGGATGCTGCACGTGATGAACGAGCCTTGGACTGTTATGAGAAGCGTGTAGATGATCCTCGTGGTGATAACAAGAGTGACTTATCCATTGAGACTCTCATTAATGCCTTAAGGTGCTGAAGCAAGCCTGGAAGTTACACCACAATGCTTCGTTGATAAATGGTTTAAGTTTCGATGTGTGCAAGTCAATGAACTAACTTGAAATGTGTGGCTTGACGTGCCCACATTTTCACTGTGTACATATGTTCTATATCCTCTTGTCCTGTGGATACCAGAGATGCAAAGATAAGGAAGGATAAGAAGTATCTCACCATAGACTTGTCTCGTTTGCAGAGCAAAACTTGAACTTGTACGCAGGCTCGTACACTCTTTTTAGTATAATGCAAGCAATGATAAATCTTTTTAAACTTCAGTGTGGGGAGGAGGGGGTAGAACCACACCAGAATGGGAGAAAACAAATTATATATATATTTAAATACAGAACAGATGTCATTTTATGAAGTTAATTTGCACTTCCATTAACTGTTATTCAATGAATTGGTTACTTGTTTAAATGCAGATTTTATAATAAAGTATTATTTCCTGTTATAATAAACTGTGCTTTTCTCATAGTATGGGTAAAGAATGAGAGAGCAGTATTTTTATACTGAGCTTTTTCAGTGTACAAAACATTATACACAGACTATGCAGATTTACCTGTGATGAAGTTCTAGAATGAGATGAATTGGGAAAATCCTGTGTCCTTTAATAGATAATTTCTCTAAAAAATAAACCCTGCTTTTATGAACATTCTACTTCCACAGCTCATATGGGAAAGGAGGCCTGGACCCTTCATATTATTGTTCATCCTCAACCTGGTTCTCATCAGCTGTGGCAGGAGCAGGGCTCTATAAAACTCCTTTAGTTCGGCTGCTGTCTTGTGTTTCTATTGATAAATTGAACTCTGGCATGTTTGAAGGGCTGTCCTGGCTTGAAGGTCTTGTGTTACAGCCACTGAGCAAGTGCAGGAGGTTGTTTTTTCTCTCTGTGCAGCAGTATAACTGTCTAATCTACTCACAATCGTGCAGACCCCTGCCAGTGGTTTCAAGAAGTTCAGAGCAGGCTGGTAAGGGTGTATGAAGGAGTTCCAGGCTTCAGCTGTGTCTAGTGGCCTTCAGTGCTGTTAAAGTTTTCATGTTAGTTTAGTGTGTTATAATCACTGTGTTCCCATGATTTTTCCCTATTTGCTATCAGTGAAGGTAAAACCCAATCGTGTCACAGTGGAAAAACTTGGACTTATGGCATTTGCTTTATAAATTCCTTTTCATTGGATAATTTTCTTAAAAGTAATCTGTGAGCTTAGTTCTCAAAACCAGTAAAACAGACGACCTTCTCGTTCTCCTGTCCCTGCCTGGATCCAGTTTGTTAGAGAGGCTGTTCCAGCTTCCCCAGAGCCCTGTTTGGCCAGGGTGTTGAGTGTGTCCTTTCCCATACAGCAGGAAGATTTCATCAGCTGCTACACCTTACTCTGGGTTCCCAGAGATCAAACAACTCTCCACTGCTTTATCCCAGTGCTTGGGCCATTTAGTTCTCCAGTGCTGGCAACATGGAACAGTTAATACTGCAGGAAATCCCTCCTGATTTCCCCAGGGAATGTGAGAATGAGTGTCTCCTGATGTGCTGCTGGTGGACACCACTGCTTACAAGCACAGTTCAGTTTATGTTGCTGATAACGGGTCCCATTTCCTATGAACAGAGAATTCTGTCCTGCTGTCAAACCTCACGTTTACCTGAGGAGACATTTTAGGTGGGTTTGGCTTTTTTCCACTAGCCTTGCTTGCTGGCAAGCTGTTCTGTGTTGTGGAACATGTCACCACCATCAGAGTGTGTCACCAGGCATCTGTGCACATGGAGGCTTTGCACTGGCAACACCTGAGCAATTGCTCTAATCCTGAAAATTCTACAGCAGGAGTGCCCAAATGTGCATAAATAAACGTGGCACAGACCTGTTCCTGTACGTGCTGGGGTTAATGACAAACCTGTGTGGCAAAGCCTCTTCAGGGTCGTGGTCACCAGCTCTGGGTTTTGCACACTGACACACAAATTGGATGTTTTACTGTTCATGAACTCACAGATTCATTTTGGGCAACCTATAAACCTAAGATATTTCTGAGGGGCTCTAGTCCATTCCTAGAGATTCATTTGAACTGTGGGAAATAATTTGTATTTTGGAAGTGTGTCCTTTAGGACACTGTGAGACAATAAACTGGCACTCACCCCAAATAAACGTGGGCTAATCTAGAATATTACCAGTTAATACTGTACAATAAAATACTTAGTCAAATCATCATCATACTGATTTTTTCCCATTCATTTGTTTGTGCAGGTATTGGCATAACTCAGCCACAGTTCTTGAGAAGGGGAAAGGTTTGACGTTATTGCAGCTCTGACAAAAACCTGCTCTAGAAGTTTCATGAGTGCTGTTTTGCAGAGATTTTGAAGCTCCTTGAAGATATCCTACCCAGAAAATTAATTGATTAATTAATTAATTAGTGGAATTTCCAAGCAGAGTTTTTGGAAGTACATGTGCAGCACCAGCTAGAATTCAGTAACAGGCAACTGAAAAATGTGCCTAAAAACCAACCAAAAGGTTGTCTGTATCCTCAAACATTTGAAAGACGTCTGTGGGTGTTTGTCACTTGAGGTGTTTTACTGGTGTGGTTTCTCAGATTCTTGTAACTAATGAGGTGAATCTGTCATGTGAAAATAGTGAGTCCCAGACAGCAACATTTTCTCCAAGAATTACCAAAGTAGAACAGAGTACAAGGGGTGACAGTGGTGTGAGACTTCGTATTTTCTGCCAGTGCACACCAGTTTTAATTTGGAGAGACAGTTCACACAGTCATTTAATCTTTCCTGCTCTCACTGCTGCTGCCAGCTGAAGTTCCTACTACTGCTAATTGTGGTGGTGGATTTTGTGTTGGCACAAATCCATTTGGAACAGCTACTTATTGACAACTACAGGGGAAGGCCATTGCCTTTTGTATGTGAAGTCTATGTTAGGTAAACAAATCAAAGCCTCCTGTGCTTGCTGTTGCTAAAGTAGATCCTGTAAATTCTTCGTCATGTGAAAAACATGGAAAAAAAAAAAATCATTCCTCCATCTGCCAAAACCAAGAAGCAGAAAGTCATGTCACATAAATATAGACAAAATGTTATCTGCTGGGGGAAGACTTGGCAACACTGAAAATGAAGTTTTACTCAGATGCATTTGCTCAAAATAGGACTAGAAAAAACAGAGCACGATCTGCATGGTGACACTGGGGAACATCAGTGCTCTTTACTGAAGGTAGAGTGAGCTGATAGTGTATGATAGAAGAGTGATAAAACCTAGTAAAAATAAAGGGAATTAATACTTCAGTTATGCTGAAATTTGCTTTAGTACTCTTTATTCAAAGACAATGTACAGGTTTAGTTTCAAGCACATCACAGGGGCCACAAAGAATCTGCAGTCCCAACCCAATGTGATGCCTGTGCCTTCCAGGAGTTTCCTTTAACTTCTAATTTACCACATGACATGACCTCCAGCATTGTAATGGACAACCTGACTCCTTCTTTGCATAAAGGAACCTGACCCTCAATACAATTGAAGTAATTAATCCCTAACAATTGAAACAGTAAATTACATCTGCTATCCTTGTGCTCCTTGCCACGGATGTGGAACAGGGCAGGAAGAGATAAAAAGAGAGAACAAATTCCAGCTGTATATCTGCAAACAATATTTCTGTCACCCACTGCTCAGGATTCAAGAGCTAAAGGCTTTCCTCTCTCTTGCTCTTTTCTCTTTTCTCTTCTCCCCTTTTTTCCTCTCTATAAATGTGCTGTCCAATGAGTCACTGGAAACCAGTTAGGAGCCTGCATTTATCACAGGAAATGAAGAAAATATTAATCTGGACTACAGTTTAGTGCTCAGAGACAAATAGAATACACTTGAAAATATTCATTTTCTCACCCCTCCTAAAAAACCTTCTCTAAGTTCTGAAAGAGGGATTGGAGGAAGGAAAGGATTTGGAGCACAAGTGCTCCTACTCAGAATGGTCTGATCAGACCCCTGAAAATCCCCCCAGCTTGTTCATGGCATTAAGTCCCATCTCCATCAGCCTCATTACAACAGCATAAAAAATTAAGCTTGCAGTCCCACTGAGGGCTGGGGCCCTTACTTTGGGAATGACAGTTCTCGGTTTTCAGATGCTTTGGCAGAGGAGCAGTAGTTTTTGTCATGTCTAAAAGGGATTATTGTGATGCACTGTGCTCAACAAAAAGCTTTCAGGAGCTCCAGGTAGGAGGAAAGACAGCCTTGTTAATTTAGCTGTCTGGGTCAAAAGGAGCACAACACTTTAGAGTGGGTTCCCTTGTGCTTTTAGGGGATGTGATGATCTTAGAAAGGCTGTAAATAGCATTGGACATGACTAATGTCAAAAAATACTTCACTTTGGTGCGTGTTTCCTGGGTGGCTGCAAAGCTTGTTGAACGTACCACAAGGTCAGCAGAATGGCTTGATTTTGGAGTGCTCAGCAAGAGCAAACTTTGCATTTCTAATGGCAGGTGTTCAGGTATCTGATCTCAGGTATTTGAGTCACAACAGTTTAGTGCATTTGACCCTGCAGTGGTGACTGCAAAGGTCGTGTTCATGCTCTGCAGGTCAGGGGTGTCCTGCTGACCTCACTGAACCACAGAATGTGCTGAGCTGGAAGGGACCCACAAGGACCATCAGTCCAACCCTTAACCCTGCACAGATCCAGCCCCAAGAGTCACCCCCTGTGCCCCAGAGCATCATCCAAACCCTCCTGCAGCTCTGGCAGCCTTGGGGCTGTGCCCACTGCCCTGGGGAGCCTGTTCAGTGCCAACCACCCTCTGGGGGAAGAACCTTTCCCTGAGATCCACCCTGAGCCTGCCCTGACACAGCTCCAGCCATTCCCTGGGGGCTGTCCCTGGTCCCCCCAGAGCAGAGCTCAGTCCTGCCCCTCCTCTGCCCCTGCCCAGGCAGTTGGAGCTGCAGGGAGGTCTCCCCTCAGTCTCCTCCAGCTGAACACAGGCAGTGACTCAAACACATCATGATCTCTCAAACCCTGCTGACCTCCATCACCTGCACATCCTTGGAATTCAGAGGAGTGTTCACCACCCCCTTCAGTGAGAACAGTAATGGAACTCTTTGGGTATCACCAGGTGCTGAACAGCTTTGTCCCAGGGTTTCCAGCCATGGGGGTGGCAGTTGTAGGACACCTTTGTCACACGCTTTTCATGTCAGCTTCAGCGTTGTCTCCTCAGCCTCCGTGGTGTCACACTGTCACCCTCGGCAGTGGGAAGGGGCGAGTGGCACTGCCCTGCTGCATCACCTGCTGAGAATCACCAGCATCAACAGCTGTAACATGAACCTGGGCCCCTGCTCATTGCTTTACAGCATATTATCTGGATAAAAGTGTCAGATTCTGCTGCTCACGAGTCCCTGATTAAAACAGCTCAGCAAATTAAATTACTCTCTCCTGGAATGGCAGGGGGATGGCTGCATTTGCAAGGCAAAGGGAATGGAAGGTTTTTAGCTAATGTGTACGTGGAGAATAAAAGGAAAAACTTATGCAATCCCA